ACAGGATTATTCATTATATTTTGACACCCACCTACAGGGTTAATTTTAAAAAATAGAAAAAAAGGTGTAAATACAAAAGTTTGAAGATTTTTGCACCATTAGCTTATGCAAATGTCAGACAAACATGGTAGTAGCTTTTTTTCCTGATTTCAAAAACATATAATTTCTTGACATTTCGTTTAGCCGTTTTTGAGACGTTTCAGTTGAAAAGTAATTATCATTCGATTTCTGGACATTGTTTAAAAATGGTCAAGTCTGCCTTGATGGCAACCATATTATCTATGCCTATATTTCCTATTAATACAGGAAGTGATCAAATCAGGGTTTTCCCTGTTTAGATCTTGTAAAACGATATTAAGTCTTTCCCTTATCACTTGTAAACTTCATGCCTATTATAATAAATTTTATTTTTTAAGGATCCCCACTAAAAAATATCACAAGGATTCAGGTCGGGACTGTTGGCAGACCATTTGATAGTTCTTTGTACCTATCCAACGTCTATATTTATTATTTAGATAATCGGTAACCGGTTGGACATTATGCGGAGGTGCGCCATCTTGATGCCAAATGAAATTTAAATAATTCAAGATCTTTGGTGAACCAAAAATGTTTATTCTTCTTATTAAATACACCTGCTGTTGTGAACGAAGCCTCATCCGTGAATATTATTTTGTTAACTTCCATACATTTCAGTGCAAAATTCCAGCCTCTGCCTTTTATGTTCATTGGTTAAATTTTGCACTGGAAGGGACTTATACGGATGAAACTTACGATATTTTAGCATTACAATGGGACTTTCCGGATATTTTTTTAGAGCCAGATATAGAATATTCAGGATTGTCTAAAAAATATAAAATATATAAATTCAGAAAGTAGAATTCAAAGTTAGGATGCCAACTGTCTTAATAGTAAATGGTTTACCTTTGAAGTAAAGTAATATATTGATGTCTTCATCAAAATTTCCTGTCCTGGTCTTCTGTGTGACACTATTTCGGTTCTCTAATTAACCATGCAACATTGTGTCCGTTTGAATAATATCATTTTATTATTTGGCGTTTCCGCTCCTCATTATAACCCATTTAAAATATGTTAAGTTATTTAATTTACGCTGCAGATCTTTAGTTTTGATTAGTTGTCAAAACAATTGAAAATATAAGTAATATGGTTGCTATCAAGGCACCATTTTTAATTATTTTTCAATTGAAATATTTCGAAAACAGATAAATGAAATGTCAATAAACTACGGGTTTAAGCTCATAATATGTAGGGCATTCCATTAAAAAAAAACATGATTTTGTCAGCTTGCGAAATCTTCAAACTTTTATATTTACACTTTTTTTTCTATCATTCATAATTAACCATGTAGGTGGTTGTCAAAATATAATGAATAATCCAATAAAGGATGACAATTTTCGTTGTGTAAATAAATTTAAATTAAGACGCTGGCTTTACATTAACTCTACCCGTACATTAAGAGAAGGAAAGTCGGAAAAAACAGACACTTTTAAATTTTATGGCCTGCGAGCAGGGTAATAACAAGTAACGGAAGAATTGCATAATCTAAAATTCATTCAGTGTAAGTATAACAGTAATCCCCCTTATCTTTTTTCATATAAAATAATTATACTAAAGAAATAAGTACTTACTATAAATCATCTTTTTCTAATCGTTTGGGGTTGTTTTTCTTTATTCGAATTCAAGTCATCTCGATTATAATAGCCAAAGTTTTCGAATTCCAGACGTAATGTACAGGGCGTCCAAAATTATAATCTAGATACTTTCGCGGCATATTCAGCACCCAGTATATTTTTCGTAATTTAAAATCTCCGTCATTTATCACAATAAATAATGGAGAATTTCAAAAATGCATGTTTATTTTTAAACGATGAATTATCGTCGAATTTCTGTTCCAGTCTTTTCGATTCTGTAGATGTTATGTATGTATATATGACACTATAGGTCATGCAATTTTATATTTAAAACTCAAATACTTTGAGGTCCATTTTTAATTTGATCTTCAATGTAGAAGAGAGATGGTTTACTTTAATGGCGCCTATAACGACTTGAAAGTCCTTCATTGCGGAGTTTCCCACTGACCTTCAGTGGATTAATGAACTATAAAAATCTCATTCTTTCATCTCTTTTCTCTTCTCATCAATGAAATTGACACAAGATCAGTGACTTGATAACTTCCGCATGAAGTTGCCCGACTCCGCCAGAAATCTGAGCCTCAAACCATAGCGTAGGCTAAAATGAAAATATACAGGGTGTCCAAATAAGTTGTCAAAGTAACATATTTTATTTATTAATAGAAAAAACATTAAATACAAAAGTTATAGATAAGAGCAAAACAAACAATATAAAATTATTTTTCAAATGTACAGGGTGATTCACAATATATGGGAAAAACACCCTATGTACTATTGCACATATTCCTTATTATACTCATGCAATGTAGACTTGTTATGGTCCAAATCGAGTGTTTTCGAATTTAAATGATATATAAAACTCTTTTGGCATAATAAAGGTAGGAAATAGAATATCATCGCAAAATATCGTAAGGACTAAAGCAAGGTTGTTGTGTTTCTAATAATAATAACAATAATAATAATAATAATATTTATTTAAATCAATAAAAAATATACAATTTAATAACTTATTGTAATGTAGGCATTAAATAAATATTAATACAAAAAAAAACACTTATATTCAAGGTATACTAAGTGAAAAACTTGACAGCCATCATTGAACATAACACAGATTAATTTAACTATGTTTCCTATCTATTATATAATATGAAAAATAAAAAAATAATATTCTACCAGAAAAAAAAAACGATTGTATATAGTTACAATACATTAAAGAATCTGCGAATTTGACTTATAATATGTCCGCTTACAAACTGAAATTACAATTTAGCATCAATGAGCCACTTAGTTAAGTTTTATTTAAATGATTTTATTTTCAGTTCTCGAGGTAGTGCGTTATAATTTTTTGACCAGTATAAAAGTACTTTTTTTGTCCAACAGATAAATGCATTTTTTGTAAAGTTAAATTTTCTCCAAGTTTAAAGCGTGTTTCATACTCGTAAGTTTTTAAATTAATTAAATTAAGTTTTTTATGTGAAGTATTTGAAATTGAGTAAAAATTAAATCAGATGGATATCGCAGATTTAACTTAAATATAATTTTCAAAATTCAAGAGGCTGAAGAGTTGTGTGATAGGCAGCACCCCAACCAATTGTCCCATAAGATATAAGTGATTGTACAAGTGAAAAATAAGTAGAAACAAGTAATTGCTTATAAGAGATTTTAGTAGTTGTCGGAATAAACACGTTAAGGATCGTAACTTTTTCACTAACTGTTCGATATTGAAGTTTCACTTTAGTTTTGAGTTTTATAGTAAGTCTATTGTTGTAAGTAGTCGATCACTATAATTTGAAAAGGGCAAGTATCGTGTTTTATCTAAGTTGATGGTTAGTAAATTATTGTCAAGCCACTGTGACATAAGTTTCAAGTCTTCGTCCCAATTGTTACCTTCAACAAACAAAACTGTATCATCAGCAAAAGAGATGATTTTACCAGTACCAGTACCAGTAAGTAGTTAATTTATCTATATAAGGAAAAATATGGGTCCTAGGACTGTACCCTGTGGAACTCCATAGGTCACAAATCTTGGCTTACTGAAACGGGTATTAATCGCTACCATTTGTTGTCGATTTTTCAGGTAACTTTCAATCAGTAAGATGAATATAGTGTAGTCAAAAGCCGTGAGCGCCTTATCGTGTCGAACGCTTTTGATAAATCAGTGAACACTGCGGCACATGGTCTTGGATTATCTAAGCATCTGTATATATTTTTTTAAGGCTTTTTCGAAGATTTTTGTTACATTAGATATAAGACTTATTGGCCTGTAATTCTCAAGAATATTTTTTTCTCCTTTTTTATAAATGCTATAGCAATTTTGAAATAAGAGGGGCACTTTATGATATGGATATCAATTTTTTTCAGTAGAGAAATTATACGAATCGCTGGAATGGGCTTGCTGGACCACATTTTTGGCCACCCAGGTCACCTGATTTAAATCCAATAGATTTGTTTCTCTAGGACACTTAAAAACATTAGTATATACAACACCAGTGAAAAGTGAAAAGATCGAAGAAATCGGATAGAATACTCTTGTGCAGTTATTAGGAACACCCCTGGTCTTTTAGAGAAGGTTCACCAGTCTCTAATAAGGCGTAGAAACGCATGTGTCGAAGTCAGGGGAGGTCATTTTCAGCAGTTGTTCTAATTTAATTTTTTTTCTGTAAGAGTATTGTTTGTTTTGTAAAAGTGTTTTGTGTACAGTTATTTAATATTATTTAATAATAAACGTCTTCCTGTTAATAATTAACTTTTTGTATGTATCTATTTTTTTAAGCGAAAACCGAGCGTCGTGCGAATGCAAGTACATGCACCAAATTTTCTCCAAATTGAACGGGGATTTTAAAAATAATTTTTGTTTTCAGAAAAAACAAATTTTTTTCTCTAAAAATATTCAGTTCAAACCTCGTACGGACGCCACCGGTAAAAATGAAAATAAAGCTTTTGTGTCAAAAACCGCCTCTCAATAATTAACAGATGTTAACCAAATTTGATAAAAACACCTAGGAAAATATGCATTTTTTGACTTATGTTTAAATGAATTTTTCGTCTTAAAATTAGGCAAGGAATCGTTTCTAAGTTTGGCACCCTGTATATATTTTTTCACTATATTAGCAAACACCAGGCACAAAATAAAAAAGCTCTATTTCCCAACCGTTTTATTGCCTAACATTTTACATTAATTAAAAAAAAATCGAGAGGCGCATATTTTAGCATACATTTTCGAACTCTCAAGACGCAATATCAAGTTACAAGTAGTCACTGAAATTTTACATAAATTTCCCGCAACTTTAGAGATTACCAATGCGCAATAATAAATAACGCGAGCCGTTGCTTAACTAATTGAAAATAAAATTACGCGCTTCGCATGGCGTTGATCAGCCGGTCCAAATTCGAGATCCTCTCCTCGTAATCTTTAAGGACGGCGTCGCTGTCGCTAAAATTTAATTCGTCGTGTTCCGGGGCCACCACTATGTCGGATTCCCGTTTGCTGATCCTCTCGTCTATGTCCGGATCCGCTGTGGAACTCTGGGTATTTATTCCAAGGTTAAACGTGACGTCAGGAGTCGCTTCGTCGTACTTAAACTCGTCGGAGGTGTCGGTGGTAGCTGAGGCGCCGATACTTAGGTTCAAAAACTGCGTGAAAATTGGTACCAGCCATTGGAATGAAAAATCTGCGGAGGTCGGTATCCACACGAGGGCCAAGTTGCCGGCCTTCACGCCGAATTCGATGAGGGTGCGGAGGAACTGCAAGTTTTCCGTCGTGTAAATCGACACCATGAACCTAATGAGTCCGACTTTGAGCCGGTGGAATTGTTTGAATATGGCGAGTTTCGCGGAAATGTGGTCGGACAGTGATTTCCCGATAACGGCGCTAAAATCAGGAGGCGAAGAGGGTGTCGGGTCCGCGTTCAATTGAATATGGACGCTGCCTGATGCTTGCGGAGAGGCAGAAACGTAGGCCGCAGCCGCCACTATCTGAAACGAATTCAGTAAATTAAAAAGGCGCCAAAGGACTAAGCTACGCCTCGTTAAACCGATGTTTATTTAAAATAAGTCAAAACACGTAAAAGTCGACCAAGCTATGAAGCGTTAAACCAATGTTAATTCAAAATAAATCGAAACGAGTAAAAGTCGACCAAGCTACGTCGCGTTAAACTGATGTTTATTTAAAATCAATCAAAATGGATAAAAGCTAACTAAGCTTCGCCGCGTTAAACCAATGTTAATTTAAAATAAATCAAAAAGCGTAAAAGCCGACTAAGCTACGCCGCGTCAAACCGATTTTTATTTAAAATAAATCGAAACGCCTAAGAGCTGACTAACCTATGCCGAGTTAAACCAATAGTATTCCAATGTTAATATAAAATAAATCAAAAAGCGTAAAATCCGACTAAGCTACGCCGCGTTAAACCAATGTTAATTTAAAATAAATCAAAAAGGGTAAAATCCGACTAAGCTACGCAGGGTTAAACCAATCTTTATACAAAATAAATCGAAACGCGGAAAAGTCGACAATGTTCATTTCAAATAAATCAAAAAGCGTAAAAGCCGACTAAGCTATGCCGCGTTAAACCGATGTTTATTCAAAATAAATCAAAACGCGTAAAAGCCGACTAAGCTACGCCGCGTTAAACCAATGTTTATTCAAAATAAATCAAAATCGGCTGACTAAGCTACGCCGCGTCAAACTGATGTTTATTCAAAATAAATCAAAACGGGTAAAAGCCGAGTAAGCTACGCCGCGTTAAACCAATGCTTATTCAAAATAAATCGAAACGCGTAAAAGTCGACAAAGTTACGTCGCGTTAAACCAATGTTTATTCAAAATAAATCAAAATCGGTAAAAGCTGACTAAGCTACGCCGCGTTAAACCGATGTTTATTCAAAATAAATTAAAACGCGTAAAAATTGTCTAAGCTACGCCTCATTAAACCAATGTTAATTTAAAATAAATCAAAAAGCGTAAAAGCTGACTAAGCTACGCCGCGTTAAACCAATGTTTATTTCAAATAAATCAAAACGCGTAAAGCAAACTAAGTTATGCCTCGTTAAACCAATGTTAATTTAAAATAACTCAAAAAGCGTAAAAGCCGACTAGCTACGCCGCGTTAAACCGATGTAAATTTAAAATACATCAAAAAACGTAAAAGCTGACTAAGCTACGCCAGGTTAAACCGATGTTAATTTGAAATAAATCAAAAAGCGTAAAAGCTGACTAAGCTATGCCGCGTTAAACCAAGGTTTATTTAAAACCCAAATCACAAGTAAACAAAATTAAACCAAACATGAAAAATAATATACGTCATACTTCTGTCACAGCCATGATACAACAAACAAAGGTCTACAGAGGTAGATGCTGCTTTCGAAAAATCTACGAATTCGAATTTCCGTGCATGAGAAAAGGAACTTTTTTATTTTTTATCTGTTCTCCCGTTCCCTGGTCTTTGTCGAAGCACCATAAAAACGCGAATCACTTCCGAATGGTGTGAGTAAGGGAGCTGAACTTCAGTCCCTTTTAAACAGCCAACGGGAAACATTATCCCATAAGAAATGGCCGCAATTGAACCTCGGCGTGTATTTTTTTTCTAGAATTTCCGCTGTTTTTCTTACATTGCTAAGTGTCCGTGGCTTTTTTATTTAACGATTCCACATATTGTACAGGGTATTCAAGATATTTCGGGCAATCATATGAAAAATAATAGATGTCTTAAATATGCAGCTATCGATTTCAGATTTGGCAGCTATGTAGTAGTCCATCCCCACTCTTAAACTTTAATAGTTTGGAGCAATTAAAAGTCGCAAAGTATTTAAAAAAATTTTTTTTGGGTTATTTTCGCTTTAAGATAAAAATGTTTCTTGAAACAGGATACGCGGGAGATCGGTCACTGTAACTTTCATTGCGAGCGTTTTTTCGATTATATATTGGACAAAAATCTAAAAAAACCTGAAAATTTGTTTTTCCCAGAGTGAATTATTAGCAGTAAATTAAAATTACCAAAAAATATAACTAATTGGTTTAGGTGGTATTGTAGACCCCATCAATAGCTACAATTTTTATATTTACGGTTTTCGACTATCACAGACGTTGCTCCAGATATTTGAAATAATCCAAATGAAAATCACCATTTCCCGCCCTCAATATAGACTCGATAAGGTCATTTACTACGTTTGGTACTGCATGGTTTCAGAAAACAAGTAATTGTTCATATCATTTATATCCCAAGAAAAGTAGAACATTGTTTGATTTATATACAGCGTGTGTGGTTTATGAGCAAAAAATCTATAAGATCCTAAAAATGACAGTTTTTGTGGGGGTAAATTATAGGCGATAAAGGAAAACTGTTTAGGATGGGATAATTTAATTTGAACAATATGGAGTACAGAGAGTTTTAAAGATATTTAAAAAATATATTAGTGAAAATCGCTATTATTTGTACAAATTTTAACATTTACCAAAGTTTGCCGCAACTTTGAAGTTCGGCGAGATGTGACAGACACTTTATACATGCATTGCATGCATTACATCGATTTGGCGAAAGTTCCATAATGGTCCGCAGGAGCACAATAGAAAAACAATGCGTCTTGCTAAAGATTGTTAATTATAATTGTTTAGGATAAAAAGCAAGTTGCTATTATATTTGTAGAAACCAAATAACAATAAATCGTTACGTTTTGCTTTATAAAATGTATTATCATATTTATAAGTTAATGTCAAAATAGGCGCGAATTTGATTAATGTCATTATCAAACTTAGATTTTTGAAGTAGATATTTAAAATGAAGTGTTGATATTATAATAATTGATTAGGTATCACTTTAATAACGTTTAATAAAGAAATCTAGGTGCCTTTAGAAAGGTAAGAAAGGTAAGAGGTAAAGAAAGGTAAGAAAATTTGTCATTTTTTTAGTTTTGTTATTTTAAAAATAATTTTATCCTAACACTGTAATATTCTATAGATTAGTTATAAATATACAGTTTATGAACAAGTGTCTTTTGCTAAAATAGAGAGTTTATGGGCTAAAATGAATGTGTTATGGCAAAGAGGAAAGGCTGTTTGCAAATATACCATGATACACAAGAAACATGAATCATGGTTACGACTGGGGCAGAAATCAAACCACTTATATGATAATGTATTTCTTACATTTCATCTTCCAAACCTCTCTAGAGGAGCAATAACAAAACTTTAATAATCAAATAAATAAGTCAAAATAATTTTCCATAACTCAAAAATGGGTTTTGAGTTAGATTTACTTAGCTTATATTATTTTTTAAATACATTTTTTTCTGAAACTTAAAAATGGAGGTACTAAGTCATCGTGAAAATCAAAAAACGAAGAAATTTAACGCCATAAGAAGAAAATTCATCGAAAGGTCTAGAACCAAGCCATCACCTAACTTTTTGCAATGTTTACGTCAACATTGAACTGAAGAAGCATCGAATCACTCCACTGCCACAGAACACCGCATTTTGATAAAAAGTAACTAATCCAAACCACAAAAAAGCACTACGAAGACCAAAAAACACAACACAAATCAAGTTCCGCCTACATGCGCAGTTTCAAATGATCTGTATATCTTAGCTATATTGCTACTAGATAAAGATGTCATGCTATGACGTAACTGCAAAATTGCTCTTACTGGATGTTAATAATTTTTGGACTTACCAATATCAACGCCGTCTTCATTTTCGCGACTTTGCGTGTCTACGATTAATGGCCAAATGAAGGCTCGGTCCCTTGGTAATTATACATACAATTTAGATGTCATTATTTGCGAAAATTTGGGAAACGTACCGAAAAACCAGTAGCCAAAGGTTAAGGTCGCTAATGTCGTCTCCTTTCTACCGATTAGAGGCTGTTTTGCAAGACTATTTTCTGTGAATGTGAATCAAAGGTATTTCCCAAAGTAAGCTATAAGGTGGAAGCTCAAAAAAAAATTAAGCCCTGTATCTCAATTTTTAAAACCTGATTTCTGAAAATTTTCCTAATATTTTCAAGCCGAGACCATTTTAAATCGTTTTTGTATTGCTTTTCTGAAATGAAAGTGGTGGGGAGTATTCTTTATAATAATAATAATTATTATTATTATTATACAGTAAGTTTTTTTTCTACCCTTGCAAGGTGAAATTTGGCATACATGAACAGTAGAAACTCTATATAGCGAAATTGAAGGGACTGCTTTTTTCTTCGTTATAAATAGTTATAGGCACTTGAAAAATAACAATACGCACACGTGTTCTGTAATATTTAATTATTTTATATACATATTTTAACATCTACTTAGGAACATTTTATATAAATATTTAAGAACTACATTTAATATTGCAAATATTCGGTCATTTTCTTCCCCATCTTCCCCATCATACATAAAAAGTTTCTCCAACAGCTTAACTGAATGACTTGTTGAATGGTTGATGGTGGTCCCAGATCAACTTCTTCATCTTCTTCTTCCTCTTGGTGCTTTTCCTCGACCTTACTTGATTGTTGTAATATGGTTTCCTCCGTCAAGTCTGCTGTTGTATGGAAATCCTGATCTATAACCATAAAATCTTGCAACTCCTCACTTGTAAACGTAATTGTTGTTTGAAACTGTTTTATCCACTCGCTTAGTGGCTGATCATCTTCCAAGTGCTGTTCGCATTCTGTTGAATTGTTTCTGCTGTCACCTCTTTCCAAGCTTTACTAATAAAGTTGACTGCATCTAGCATATTAATGGAAAATTTGTCTTCGGACTAGATCATTTCCATTCAAATGTTTTTCCTGAATCGACTCTTAAGACTGTAGTCCATCGGCAGTAATTCACTTGTTGTTTTGACTGAAATTAATGCCAATTCAATATTCTGTAGATTTGGAATATGGGGATGTGCAGGACAGTTATCTAAGAGAAGTAATATTTTCCTCCTCTTTAATTCTGCATCCCATTTCCGTATCTCCTCTTCAAAAATTTGCGATGTCATCCATGCAGACTTGTTTGTCTTGTAAGTGACCGGCAAATGCTTGATGTTCTTAAAACATCACAGGTTAGTTAGTTGATTTTCCAATCACGACTAGCTTTCTTTTTTCTCTCTCACTCATACTAGCAGCTACTAACACTGTTATACGTTCAACTTTCAACACTTTTCACTTCTAAATTTAAGAGTTTTGTCTGGCGCCATTTTGTAAAAAATACCAGATTCGACAGCATTAAAAATGTCGTACTTTTCTGCTAGTTTTGGCCACGTCTTCTCCAGCCAATCGTTAGTGACGTTCCTGTCGACATCACGGGCTTTGCCACTTATCTGTGCATAATTAAAATCGATATTGCCAAGCTGTTCAGCAAACTTTTCTGCTTTTAGTTTTACGATAGGTCTAAAGAGTGGTATATTTTTAAGACGTTGCTGTTGGAACCACTGCACGTTGCACGATCCAAATCTTCAAATTTTGGCTATAGTTTCGCTATAGGGAGTTTTCACTGTATATAATTAAAATGAGGTGGATAAACATAGCAAGGGAACATAGGAAGGAAAGCTTCTCCTAAATGTGTGGTCATTTCTGTGCATTCGTCTTGTAATAGCCGAGATTGTTCGTTTTATTATTGATTGTTCGTTTCTTTTTTACACAATATGAACATAAAAACTACAACGCAAACATGAAAGCCGTGTGAAAGTAAGGCAACCATTCCTAATGTTATATATATTTTTCCTCCATCAGTAAAGTTTACCCAACAATATACCGTTTTTACAACCTTTTATGGTTTTAACTTCGGAATGATTTTAAGACCCTCCTCTTGTTTAGCACGTGTGCTACAAGCCAGGGCCGTATTTAAGATGTTAGCCGATAAGAAGTGTCGTATTTTAAGAGTGCCCCTTAGATATTATATTATATTAAAAACACTTAAACACAGCTTAAACCTATTTTCAATTTTAGGGCTTAAAATAATGACTCTAAAATATTTTCCTAGGAAAGCAATACAAAATCTTATGTAGATAATTGATTTATAATAGACATTTTCCCAGTGGTGGTTGATTTGTGGGGTATGATATCAGTAAGCTTTGGAGTTATTTCTATTCCGTCTTGTGTTTGTAATGAGTAATTACCAACATACTGTTATTAAATTGTTTTTCAAGACTCATTGTGCCATTTTTTTGATTATTTATTTATTTATTTAATTCTAACCAAATACAAACATTATTCAATTCGAATGGATCAAAGACTCGGACACATTTCTCGGTTGCTGCCAAAATTATGATTTTAAATGTGTTTCTGGTTCTGAAATCTAGGGAACTGAAACTCAGTTAAAGAATTAACATCTGCCCCTAGTTGGAAAAAAATGCGTAGAACATGTCATCGAAAAAAAAGGCTACAGAAGTCGACTTACAAATAGCACATAGACGTCCATACAACATCCTTAGGATATCTGACGGGACATAGCGATATGGATAGGGATATACTGTTTCAGCTAAGGGACTTTCTTAAGACGTCTCAAGGATATACGATGTTACTAATCGGAACGTCCACAGTATATCAGATACGTATGTCCGTACATACCGAAGATATCCAGTTATACTAGTTGAGACGTCGTTAGTATATCCGACTGTGAGGATATAGGAACTTAAATAGATACACCAGTAGACCTTACTTAATTATTAGGTTATTTCCAACAGCCTATGAGAAATGCTGGAAATGTAATGTCCAGTAGTCCAATTGGTTGTACGACTTCAAAAATTCTATCCCAGTATTTGGTACCCGAGTGTGATGGAATTAACCTATTGGGTATGGTTGGTGAAATCATCACTGGAATAGCAGCCTATATTTTAAATGCACAAGTTTTTTCCAATTAATATTTAATATATAATTTTGCTTTTGATGGTAAAAGTGAAGGACTGCCGATTGATGCCATTAATAAAACACATTTTATACACATCTGATTTTTTTCTGTTGCAGATATGAAAAAATTGTAGGTATATAATATAGCAAAAATATAGAACAACCGAACCTAAAGTATCTTAAAGATAGAGTAAGATACTATATCTTGAACTAAACTCTATTAGAATAACTAATATTTGACAGGTTTTCTGTCATTCTTGGATAAAAGTAGCTTTTCTCAACCAAGTGAATTCTCACGTTTTTTTGATATTTGTGATGTTTTGGGAAAGACAGGTTTTATACATCTGTACTTTATAAAAAAAAGAATGAGACTGGTATCTCATATGTTTAGAAAACAGATTTAAAAAATCTCCATATCCGCCTTTTACATAAAGGCTTGATTTTACGCTGATAGTACTCTCATGAAAGTGATCTTAAATGCTCCACGATGATGTGGGTATATATATATATATATATATATATATATATATATATATATATATATATATATATATATATATACTTATCGCGCGCAAAAAAAAAACTAGAACAAATATGCCTTTTCAGTTTGACAGTAAAGACCTATTTTCATGCAATATTTTTTGCCAACCTAACAATTTTCCTAGTTTTTTTTGCTCTCAATGGTACCTACTATCACCATGAAAACAAGTCTTAAAAAATAGGAAAGACGTTTTCATGAATTAACCCCACAACCATTTTAATGTGAAAATTGTACTTTATGAAGGGTGATTCTTAAAATTAATACTTTGTTTTTTGTGGGGTGATTCCTGCATTCATTTTAAGAAAAAAATGTACGAACTATACTATACAACTTAAAATATAATTTTGTTCTGGGGAATTTTCTCAAATATGGCTTACTTAAATAACAAATTAGTTTAGTTTTGTATGCTTAAATTTAACTGCTCAAAAAACATGAAGAGAAAGTGGATTTTATTTTTGTTTTTAAAAACTAAGCAATAAGATACGAAAAGAAGTCTAGAATAAAAAAAATGTAATCTAAAACGTATATAGGTTACAAAAAGTCAGTTTTATCTTAACTTGGTCCAGCGATCACTTCTTAAAAAAAGTATCAACTAAGCAATCACCACAATATATATTTTATTAACATTCTTAAAAAACAAAATACCAACTTATCAAGCATTAATTTGGCCGATTTTATTTTTGAAAATTTCTCCTTTTTCTTCAAGTCCAACCAATTAAATTTTATTGCAAGTTCATTTGAAATCAGTGGGATCAGAGCTTTCTTTACAAACTCATAACTGCTGCCGCCGTCTGATCTTGCTATCTCATTGACCTAGCAAAATAATAAAAAACAAGGCATGATGTTGGTAAACTACACAACAATGGTGAAATACTCAAAACAGACGCCAAGTCGCCATATACCTTATACAAAAACAAGGCTGAAACGTTGGCGGCCGACGAGACGGAGGAGAAGCCGACGAGACTCGAGAGAGTCCGGCACGGCACGATCGCGTTGCAGCCGAACAGTGTTGTCAAATGGGTTCTTATAAACAAATATATTATTTTTACGTTTTTGTAATTTTCTTACTTAGATGAATCAGTATTTTCTGTGGTATTTTTATTAAAATAGCGTTTCTTGTCTCGTTCGTGTCCAAAGATATTAAAAAGAAAGGTTTTATTTCGTTTTTTTAGGGCTTGCCAACACTGACGTCGATATGGATGTGCACAAAAACGTTGCCAATAAAATGTCTCCCAAAACACCACAAATCTAAAAAAACTAATTATTTTCCTTCTCAGTTGTTCAAAATTTAACTTTTTCGGTTTCTATTCTAACGTTCCCATTATAGCGCAAGGGGATATCCTCAGGCCATCTATT